AAGAAGAAGTAAAAGAGTTTATTACCACAAAACCAGTATTGGAAAAAAAATCTTAAAGGGACTGCTATAAGAAGAGGGGAAAAATTATATGTATATTTAGAGAGGGGAACATAGGTATAAAGAATAAAATGTCAATGAATAAGTACCTACTAATAATAGTCTTAAATGTAAACAAATTAAATGGTCTAATCCAGTGATGACGAACCTTTTGAGCTCAGCGTGTCAGCATTTTGAAAAACCCTAACTTAACTCTGGTGCCGTGTCACATATAGAAATTTTTTGATATTTGCAACCATAGTAAAACAAAGACTTATATTTTTAATATTTATTTTATATATTTAAATGCCATTTAACAAAGAAAAATCAACCAAAAAAATGAGTTTGCGTGTCACCTCTGACACGCATGTCATAGGTTCGCCATCACTGGTCTAATAAAAAAACATAGGATAGCTAAAAGGATAATAAAACATGACCCATATATATGCTGTCTACAAGAGACCCACCTCAGAACAAACGATACACACACACTGAAAGTAAAGTAATGAAAAAATACTCATGCAAATGGAAGCAAACAAAAAAGAACCTGGGGTAGCAATATTTATATCTGACAAAATAGACTTCAAAACAAAGGCCATAAAAGAGACAAAGAAGGTCACTACATAAGAAATAAAGAAATCAATCTAACAAGAGGATATAACCCTTTCCCTTGCCAGTGTGGCTCAGTTGGTTCGAGTATTGTCCCATACACCAAAGGTGGCAGATTCAATTCCTGGTCAGGGCACATACTCTGGTTGGGGGTTCAATCCCCAATTGGGGTGCATGTAGGGGGCAGCTGATTGATGTTTCTCTCTCACATCAATATCTATCTATCTATCCATCCAACATCTATCAATCTACCTACCTATCTATCTCCCTTCCTCTCTTTAAAATCAATATTTTTTTAAAAAGAGGATATAACCCTTGTAAATATCTATGTACCCAACATAGAAGCACCTAAGTATATGAAGAAAATCTTTTTTGTCCCATGCCAATTATCAGTATTTTTATTTTTATTCTGGTGTTTTAGGTTTTTGCTTTTTAAATCTTTATTGTTAAAAGTATTACATAGGTCCTTTTCCCCCCATTAACCTCTTCCAGCCCACTCTTGTCCTCACCCCCCCAACTCCCAGGCCCTCACCATCCTATTGTCTATGTCCACAGGTTATGCATATATGCATACAAAGTCATTGGTCTTTTCTCACCCACCCTCCCCTGCCTTCCTTCTGAAGTTCAACAGTCTGTTCATGCTTCCATGGTGATGGGAAAATTGGACAGGTACATGCAAAAAAGGAAACTAGTCCATCAACTTACACCTTACATAAGATAAAAATTATAAAAATCCTAGAAGAAAGCATAGGCACTAAAAACTCAGACATCTATCATAGCAATATTTTTGCTCATATTTCCTCAGGCAAGGGAAACAAAAGAAAAAGTAAACAAATGAGACTACATCAAACTAAGAAGCTATTGCACAGCCAAGGAAACATCACAAAATGAAAAGGGAATCACCACTGAATGGGAGAACATATTTGCCAATGTTACATATGATGAGGGATTTATCTACAAAATACATAAATAACTTATGCAACACGACACCAAGAAGACAACCCAATTAAAAAATGAGTAAAAGACCTGAATAGACACTTCTCCAAAGAGGATATGCGGGTGGCCAATAGACATATGAAAAAATGCTTAACATCACTAATCATTAGAGAGACACAAATTAAAAGGACAATGAGGTATCACCTCACACCTGCCAGAATGGCTATCATCAACAAATCAACAAACAACATGTGCTGGCGAGGATGTGGAGGGACGGGAACACTCGCGCACTACTGGTGGGAATGCAGGCTGATGGAGCCACTGTGGAAAACAGTATCGAGTTTCCTCAAAAAATTAAATATGGAACTGCCATTTGACCCAGTCATCGCACTTCTGGGAATATATCCTACAAACCCTGAAACACCAAGCAGAAAGAATATATGCATCCCTATGTTCACAGCAGCATAATTTACAATAGCTAAGATCTGCCCATCAGGAGATGAGTGAATGAAAAAACTGTTGTACATTTACACGTTACTACTCGGCTGTAAATAGGAAGGAAATCTTCTTACCCTTTGGGACAACATGGATGGAACTGGAGATTATTATTCTAAGTAAAATAAGCCAGTCAGAGAAAGACAAATACCATATGATCTCACTTATATGTGGAATCTAATGAACAAAATAAACTGATGAACAAAATAGAAATAGAGCCATGGATACATGGAACAGACTGACTGCTATCAGAGGGCAGGAGCGTGGGAGGACTGGATGAAAGAAAGTGAAGGGAGTAGCCAAAAAGCATATGTACTAGTATAATACATAGACAGAGACTACAGTATGGTGATAGCCAGAGGGGAAAGGGTGGGGCTAAGCAGAGGTGGGCAAAAGGGCGGGGAATGGGGGCTGAAAGAGACTTTGCTTGGGGTTAATGGGTGCAGGATGCAGCATGCAGTTGATGGTTTATTGAGTTGTACACTTGAAACCTGTATGGTTTTTCAAACCAGTGTCATCCCAATAAATTCAATTAATAAAATATTTTTTAAAAGAGTGACATAGAGCAGTTTTGAATACAGAGTTAGAGCAAGGAGTCAAATCTGAGACCAAGGTAACAAAACCACAATAGCAGGTCTATGGCACTACTCTCACCACTGATGTCAATATGCACTCCTTAGCCCTTCAACCCTCACTCCCAGGCCAGGTCTCTAGGTAATATCAGGAACACTAACCGGTAAGAACATAGCAGGAGCCAAGTTCACTCTTGTCATGCCCTCTGCTCCATGACCCTGGATGACAGCATGAATATCAGTAGGGGAAAATATTTCATGGAGAGGAAGAAGCATACTGCCAAGTAATCACCCTTCCGCCAAGGTGCTCATTGGACTCAAGTTATTGTGAGGCTGCTTTGGATCAGGCACTGTGCTGGGTACTTCTAGATACATCATCTTAGTCTTCACAATGACCTTGAAAGAAAGAAATTTCTATTATTCTCTTGTGACAGGTGTGGAAACCAAACTTTAAAAGGGTTAAGAAACCTGACTAAAGCTGCACAAAGAGAGAAACAAAAACACAATAGTTCCATTCTAACCAAGGATAGAGAAAAGGGAAGTTTGGACCTTTATGAATTATTAGATGTGTTTTTAAGAAATCTATGAATTGCAATCTTACTTTTATCTTTTTTAAAAAAGTAAGGAAATAAAAAATGTTGAATTTTTTTCAGCTGAACACTAAAATACTGATTGTTCTGGAAAATAAAAGCTAGAGAGAGAGAATGCTGGTATTGTGGGTCAGCAACCTTGTTTACAAACTGTTTAATGACTAGGTGCAGGGACTCATATCCTATAAACATATCATATCGACGAGGTCCTAATCAGTTCAACAGTTGTCATCTTCTAGGTTTGTGCCAGTGCAATTATTTTAGAAAGTACTAGGTTTCCAGTTTAATTGGTGCCTGCTTTTTTTTGTCTCTTAAGACATTTGGTTTGGTTTAAAATTTAAATTAAAACTAATACCTGGGCTTCATCCTGGTTTCAGTAAGCCTGCTCCTTTTCCCCCTATATCTTAACGTGTTGTTGATTTAATTGCCTGACCAGGCCACAGAATAGGTGTTCCACATGTATGTACGCTTTCATATATTACAGCCCAAGCTCTATAGCCAGAGCAGAGTGAGAGCCATTCCAGAGGGAGCAATGGGCTCACAACTCTGGATGCAATTCGGGCAGAAGGACCCTGCTCACCCACACACTGGATTTGGGCTGACTTTTAATAGAAAAACAACCAAAGAAGAGGGAGACACACACTCAACTCTCCTGCTGTAGGCAGGAAGGCTGCCTGCTCCCTGAAACTATAACTCCTCAGGTGCTACTCGGGCCTTTCTTCCAGAACCTGCGAGTGGGCTTGCTCTGCTCCCAGCCCCATTCGGAAGAGAGGGGAGTGCAGTCTGAGGACTGGCATGCCCTCCGCCTGATCGGCGCAGAAACATGCTGCCGGCATTCGCAGGCACACGCAAATAATGTGGTATGTGTGCTCTTATTTCTATTTTAACGTATCCAGCAATTAAGTGGTTAATTAGCAATTGGCTGTCCACCAATATGCAAATGAATGACAAGCAAAGACCCTCTGCATCTGTAATTATTTTGCTGATTTACAAGCCACTTTCCTCTCTGTGTAGGTTTTCTGTGGTGTGCATTCATGCATCAGGGATTTCATTATTTTTAGAAGCATACTCAGTGCATTTTTATGGTTTAATATCTTCAGGCTTCAGTAATTACAGTATTATGGGTATATGTATATATATGCATATACATGTATATGTATATGTATACGTATATGTATGTACATTGTCTGTTTTCCTTGTGTGGAATTCTTCTTTTTTTTTCTTTCCTTTTTATAAAGAGTGTAGAGTAAGATTTTTTTCAAGGGGCTGAAATCCAAATTGCAGAAAGGGTCAGAGCGCAAGATTAAAAGATGTATGTTTCTTCCCCTGCCAAATCCTTATCTGGAATCAGACGAGTCTTGTAATATTTGATTTTTCTCCCAAGCAGCTCTGGTGAGTCGAGCCATGATCAGCGTTATCCATCTGCCTACTTTGGAACAGGCTGTTTTACTATTTGGAGGTTGAAACGCTTTACGTTTTTGCCAGCCCATTAAGAAAGGCTCTTACGTTAAATTAAGTCAATTAATAAATGGAGACACATTAAGCAATCAATTTTGTCAGCCGATCTCCCCAGCATTATGTATGGTTGGCTGTAATCACAAGATAAATGCAATGTGCTGATCTATGGTAATGTTCAATAATACATTCTCCGCCAGGCTCAATTCATCAGGGAGTTTCAGTAGGGAGGCATTTGTTATTGGCTGTCTCTGCACCTCAAGGATAACACTTCTGTCCTTTTGATTGGCCGCCTCACTGCTGCAAGATTCTAACCATCTTGTTTTGATGATGAATATGAAGGCTCGCTAAGCCGGTCTGGAGCGGAGTGTCTCAGTGGCTGCGCTCCTTCCAGAGCCCAAGGACTTACAGCCGCGTCGCTGCCTTCCTGTGCCAACGACCCCCCAAAAGTTGTGATGCTTTTCTTTACCCAGTGCTTTGGAGCTGTGTTAGATCTCATCCACCTCCGCTTTCAGCACTACAAGGCTAAACGGGTGTTCGCCGCCGCTGGCCAACTTGTCTGCGTCGTAAACCCCACGCACAACCTGAAGGTGAGCTGCTCTCTATGGTTTTATATTCACGCTGCTAGGGTTCAAGTCCTTTCTCCTCCCGCGCGTGCACCGAGTGACCCTCCCGCGCGTGCACGGAGCTCCTGGCTAAGGCTGTTTCGCTGGGGCCAGGACCGTGTTTGGGACTCAGAGGCTGACTCGCTCCTTCTGGCTATCTAGGTGGCTTGGTGCTTTCCCCGCTGACTGGCCAGAACAGCTGGAGTGATGGGCTAGTTTCTTTCCCTCAAGCGTCAGCCCAAGAGTTTGGTGGGGGTCAGAAGTAGAGGTTGGCGGAGGCAGGGATTAGGGGGCGTCCCCGCCCCTCTCTCTCCGAAATTTGTAGGCAAATGTTCAGTAGACAGGGTTGAAAAGTTACCCAGATTGCAGCCTGTCCCATGTGTTTGCAAAAGCCGGCAAGCACATGGGTTTTGGAAGCCCCCTCGGGCTGCCACTGAAGTAACGGGGCAGAAACACTGGACAGGGACC